AGTTGCTAGGGGGGGGGGCCATAACATGTCGTTTGGCTGCCATAGGGGTAGGGATGTACGTGTGGATTCATACTTTTACATATACACGTCGCCTAGCAGCAGCTACATGCATACGAAATTCCCAAGTCCTGCTATGTAACAACATCAAGCCATATGCATTGCCTGCTTCAGCTGAAGCAGCTGCTGCAGCTGCAGCTTCCAAACAATCTGCAGCTTCCAAACAGCACCAAGCATTTCCACAACAGCGGCTGCTGCAGCTGCAGCTCATCGATCTGTCAACAATTTGCCTCAAAACATGCTACATTATAGCTCAGAAGCGCTCTATCCACCCTTACACTTTCTGGTATTCATGCCTAGAAGAAGTCCTCCATCACCGTCAGTTAACACTCCAAGACAAGTCTGTACAGTGACTGTACAGTGCAGCAGCGCTGCTGCTAGCAGTAGCTTCTCCACAAGCGGCTTGTGAGCCTGTATGCAGCAGCTGCTGCAGCAGAAGCTTCGAAACAGCTCCAAACAGTTTCATATTGGGTGCACCCAGCTGCAGCTCATCCATCTCTCAATAAAATTTGCCTCAAAACATGCTACATCATAGGTCACATGCACTATCCACCCTAACACCTTCTGGTAGTCATGCCTAGTATTAGTCCTCTATCGCCGTTAGTTAACACTACAAGACATTGCTGCAGCAGCAGTCCTCCACAAGCAGCTTGTGAGCCTGTATGCAGCAAAGATCAGGCAGGGGCATACAGTAGCACCTTTGTCAGACCATCATGAACTGCAATGACTGTGATGTGGAACTTAGAATGCAGTTTTTTGCCACACACCTTACTACTGCTTTAATCTTCCACTGACTCTGCGTGCTGATGTGTGGTGGGGAAAGCATGTGGTGTTGTCCACAGCAGCTGCAGGTTGCTGGGTGGGCCCTGTAGACAGACAAACATGCCCATCAGAAGTTAAATACGCCAAACCCTGTATAGGAGACTCCATACAGAACATATGCAGCAAGAGGTAATTTGACACAAAATCCAAAAAAACTGTAGGTTTTCTGAGAGTAACGAAAGAAAACCAAGGTTTTCTGTGTATTTGCCGAGAGCGTACTCGGCAGTTCGTTGGTGGTACGGCGGGGCCGTACTGGTGAGAAAGTAGGGCAAGTCGCGGAGAGCGCGACGGAAAGAGCAATTTCGCGAGTTAATTTAGTCAGTACTGACAGGTTTCCACTGCGTCGTCTGCCAATTACACCGCCCCGAGGCAGATAACGCAGTCGGTAACCATGTTCCCGTTCCTGGGTTTAGAGGTCGCCCTAGTGGCAATGTTCGCGGGCATCGTTATGATGCCAGCTAAACGTAGAGTCGGTGACCAAGTGGTAGAGCTACAGAAGGTGCTTGCAGACTTACACGCGCAGTTGACCGCAATAGAACAAGCCGACGACTATCAGAAGGCCGCCTCCATGCTGGCCTCTGACCCTCTAGCACGTTTAAACAAGAAAAAATTTTCTACCGCGATGGGCCACGCTTGGGATACCTACGTCGCATTGAAGAGTCAAATGGCGAGTGTCAGCGCGCACATTGCTCAACTGGAGATGACCATGGAGCAGCCAGCTATGAAGGTTCTCGTCTCCGACAAGTCTGGTCGCGTCATGGAGCGCCCATTGAAGGACCTGGACTACGTCAACGATGGCTGGGTCACAAGTCGGGCA